AGAAGCAAAGAAAGCACGAGCTGTCTTTCCCTTCTAATGGAAGGGCAGGTAACGGCCCCATCCCAAAACAAAAACATCTCACGTGTATAATTAATTGAAATGTTTTAGTATGGTGGTGACATATGAATTATTTTTTTATATAAGTTTTATAAATTATTAAATTATTAAATATATTTAATATTATAAATTTTAAATAATTAATAATAATTAATTATTTAAATGATATATAAAATTATATAAAATAATATAATAAAATTATTTTTAAATCATTTTTATTTAATATATGTTTTTATATATAAGTTAAATCTTATTAAATGTAATATTTATAATAAATTTTATATAAATTTTATAACAAAATATAATATTTTAAGTAAAAAGATATATTTAATATAAAAATTTATATATAATTAATTATTATAAATATTATAATCAATAAAATTTAACCTGTAGGTTATATAAAAGTTGAGCAGTGCTAGGGACACTCGCCTCCTGCACTCTCCAGAAGACACACGCCTCTTTATTGGGCCACGTAAGATTGCTTTGAAGGCTATGAATGCGGAGGTGCGAACTCCCAAAAAATCAAACCAAAATAACGTGGTCCAATGAAAGTGGGAGTGTTGGTTGGAGAGTGCAATTCGCGAGTGCCCCTAGCAGTAATTTTAAGTTAAAAAAAAAAAACCGCATTTAACACGTGTGCATCGTGCGTTATAAAAATCCCTAAGGAAAAGCAAATCCTAATCCTCCCAGGACTAGGTTTTCAAAAGTCGCAAATGAATTCTGTATAAGTAACCCCAAGAAACTCCTTCTTCTTTCCTAGAACGATTAGCTCTAGCCGCCACCCACCCCCCTCACCGCCTTACCGTGGGAAGAAAGTCGGCTCCGAACAAAGTCTTACCGACCCTCTTCTCCAAGTAACGTGCAATTCTAGATCTTGTATACAGAGTCAAACCTTCCTTAGCGGTCCAATACCGAAAGCTATAAATATTTTTCCATCTTCTCCAATTCTGCTCTATTCCGGGATCTCCGCCTTCCTTCTTGCTTTTCTGACTCCAGTGCAACCGGGATTTCGGTTCTTGCTTTTCAACTTGGTTTTAGAATTCATGTTGGGATTTGTTCTTCTTTTCTTTTGTTAATTCGTAGGCTAATTCTTGGTTCTTTGTTACGGAAACCGAATTTCTGGGACGAATTCTGATCTGGGTTTTCTCGGTTTTCATCTTTTGTATAATTTCTGTACCTGATTTGATATAGGATTGGTAGTTTTTTAGGGTTTAGGTAGTTCATTTCTATTTCTCATTGTAAAGAAAGACACTTCTTTTTTTCGGTTGATTTTGGGATATGAAGAATACCCACAATCATGCTGATTTCACTTTAATTAGACGTAGAAGCAAACGGGGTTTGTTGGCTTTAGCGCCGAAGATGAACAATTACAGAGCAGAGAATCCGAGCAACAACTGGGTTCTTAATCCAACCCCCAACAGATTAGAGAATGCAGATAATAATGCTGCTTTATCTTCTTCCACCTCTGTGGGTAGTAGCCAAGATCTAGAATCGGATCTCTCTGATTGTGAGAGCAGTGTTTCTGGTCCCATTCTTGACCAGTCCTCTGTGTCCAGGGAAGGATCCTTCATGCAGGTGTCCCAAGGCCAGAGGTCCTATGATCTCCTTACAGGGAAGTTTCTTGCCGGTTTGGGTCCTCTCCGCACGTTTGTTGAGGTATCGACAGTATACAGGAATGTATACTCCGATGTTGTGGCGCAAGGAATGGTAGAAAACTTTAAGATTTCCAGGAAAACAATGGAGAAGATGCGTGGGGGCAATGCCAATGTCACAATTGCTTGGTGCGCTGTTAGAAAAGATGAGATATCCAAGATTATTCAGTATGGATTCAGTTGCAATATGCCCAAGAACGATGGGTCGTACGGCCAGGGCGTCTATCTTGCCCCGGGTGATTCTCCTCTGGAATGGTCAGCATTTTTTTGTTTTCATATTAAGTTTCTTTCTTTTAACAAGTTTTTCGTGATTTTGTTGTAAATTTTTTAGTTATGTTGATTGTTACACAGTGTGAGAAACGCGGTTGTTGATGAAGATGGGCTGCGGCATGTGTTTCTATGCCGTGTTATATTGGGGAAGACAGAGATTGTCCAGCCTGGTTCTCAGCAGTGTTGCCCCAGTTCCAACGAGTTTGATTCTGGGGTGGACAACTTATTGTCCCCGAAGAAGTATATAGTGTGGAGCACCCATATGAATACCCATATCTTGCCCGAGTTCATCTTGAGTTTCAGAGCTCCTTCTTGCTTAGAAGGTAAGTAGAGACAAAGCACTAGTCTCCGTTATATTTCTTGATCATGAAGTTGTTTTATTGACTAGGATTTTTCTTTGTTTTGCAGCGGTTAGTAGACCTCAAGTTAACCGGAAGATGCCTACTTCACCCTGGCTGCCATTTCCAGCTCTAATTGCCTCACTTTCAAAGTTCTTACCACCATCTGACATTAATTCATTGACCAAGTGTCATAGAGATCACAAGGTAATGATTAATTGTTTTATTGACTTGACATAGGTCCTGTTCTTCTTTGTTTATGATTTCACATCCTTATTGTATTTGCAGGAGAACAAAATAACCCGGCGTGAAATGATACAGCGTGTGAGACAAATAGCAGGAGACAAATTGTTGGTTTCAGTCATCAAATCTTTGGGGTCTAAGGTACCACCAACAAAATAGATATCTTGTTATACAATCAGATTATAGGTTTTATCTAATTTTATATGTATAGAGTGGAACTGTTTGCACTTCTATAATTCTATTTATAATATATGTTTTATCGGATTACCAGTTTAGAGTTACAGTGGAAATAACAAGTCTTGATTACATTCAAGTTTAAACCTTTTCTTTCTGCCTATATGGGAATTGTTATTCACTGTGCATCTGGTTTCCTGAGAGCGACATTTCAAGCTTTCTTCAGGGAATGAACAACCCAGAGTGTCATCTCCTTTCACTATTTCTGGTTCCGCCTGGTTCTTTTATAGTTACATGTATTTTAAAGGTTACCAAGGATTTAAGTAGACTAACATGGTGCCAAAGTCCAGCTGCATCACCTATGTTTTTCAAATCTGGATGGCTACTTTTACTTTATTTGATGTCTATTCTTCGAGAAATTTGTTGCTGTGGCTAAATTTCCTTGGGTGGATGATATGTGCTAATCCTGATATTCTAGCTATGACGTATTAGTGGAATAAAATGTCCTATCTGATTGTTTGGTGATAAGGTGGGAGACAAAGGGTATTGGTGCCTTTAATCTTATTTTCTCTCAAGTCATTCCGAATTTTGCTTCATCTATAGAGGGGGGGTCCCTGGGGGGGCGGGCGGGGGGGGTGGGGGCTGGCAATAGATGGGAAAAGAAGGCCCTTCTTGTGTTTCTGAGTTGGTTCTTCTTTCAATATAGGGGTGTTACAAGAATAATTTTATCTACAAGTACCATCATACTTGTCTGATCATTGGGGTGACATCTTTGTGCTCTATGGTGGCAGGTTAATTCATCAAGCAGCACTCAGCAGACGTCAAATACATTACCACCCAGTATTGTTGTTGAAGTACCGGGGAACGGTATGCAACCGAAACCCGGCAGTGTTGATGAATCAAATACAGGGGATGACTTGGCCCGTAGAGGCTAGTTAAGGTGGATGGTGTCGAAATTTAGCAGTCTAATTCAAGTGGACAAAGATGTGGGGCTTTGGGAGGATTAGGTCTCTTCCTTTTTACAGTCAAATTTTCTTACTGTTGCTACTGTGGGAAGGTTTTGCTATATGGTTAGAGGCTTTGGTGGGATTATAGGCAGTGTTTTGGTTGTTATATAGCCTTAATTTTGGCTTGATGACAGTTCTGCCCTCTGAAATCGCATAAAAGCAAGAAATGAAATTTGTTAAAGTGTTCTTGGTTTTCTTCATATCCTTCTCTGCTTTTGTGGCCCATACTGGTTATTTTGATTAGGCAAAACTGTATTGAACTCAAATCTGTGGACTCAGGAGTCAGGTCTCTTCTTGAGGACACCATATGAACTGTTTCAATGGTCCAAAGTTTGAAACCCAAAACCAACATTCCTTAATTGGGAATAGAAAACTTTCTACCCCATAACATGTCCCCCATTCAGTACAGGCCCAATACTAATCCCGAAGTTAATATTTTGCCAAACACACAAAAGTTCATCCAGACTGTTAACAAATGCAATTGACTTTTTTTTTTTAAATACTAAAATGATTTTGTTATCTTATTTTTAATTAATTAAGGTTCATAATGGAACAAGAAAACAAAATCTCATAATAGGTGTATATGTCATTAAATAAGTCAGTTCATGTACAAAGATTAGATATTCTACACCATGATATAAGACTATGTTACAGTCATTTTCAAAATTTATAGGCTTTTTAGAGCCTGTTGGACTTTCGTTTCAATTTAACTGGACAAAATAATCTTTCATCCTTTCTCCTCCCCTTTTCGCAAACTTAGCAGACCTTTAATTATGTTATGTCATAAATTAATGAGATTAGTGTCCTTTAGACCTAGTAAATAGGTTTGAACGGCTGAGTTGAGATTGGATTACTTTAAACTTTAGATTTAATGAGTTACGTCATTTTAAATTTTGAGTTAAAAAAGGTATGCTCATACTCATATGGTTTCATATTGTATCAAATAAACTTAACTTTTTTGAAAAATTAAAATTGTTAATTTTTTTCTAATTTTTTAATAAAACTTAATATTAATTAGTTATTTAGTAAAAAATATTAAATTAATATTAATTCTAATAATTTAATAATTAATACTTATTTTATAGTATTTAATTTTATTTTATATTTAAACAATTTAAATTAAAAGTATAATTAATTTAAAATTTAAA